AAAAAAAAAAAAAAAAAGAAGGAAAAAAAAAATTTTTTTTTTTTTATTAGATGAATTCGTAAAAGTAGTATCAGAAGATAGCGAGAAAGAGAAAGAGAGAGAGAAAAAATTAAATTTCATAGAGTAATAAAAAATAATTTATTGCAAAAAAAAAATTTTTTTTTTCTTTTACTTTTTTTTCTTTTTTAATCCTCCTGGAGAAAAAAAAAAGAGTAAAAGGAAAAGAAAAAAAATTTATAGATTTTTCTAGAAATTCATTTTTTTTTATTTAATAAAAAAAAAATAAATCACGTGACTTTTAATAAACAAAAATTAAATAAACGATCGTTACGTAATAATTCGAAATTAAGAATATTCTAATAGAAACGTTTTGTGTCGAATGCGATGACGTCATTTTTCACCTAAAAACATATTTTGAAAATGTTAAGGTGAAAAAAAAAAAATCGGGAAGAAAGTAGGAGAGAGAGAGAGGGGGGAAGAGAGGTGGGGGAGAATGAAAGATGAGGTTGCAGGATAAGCGTAAGAGCCTAGAGTAAAAAAAAGTAAAAATAAAAATGGTGGAAAACGTTAAAATAGACACAAGGATTTTTTTTTTGAGGGGGGGAGAAAAGGGAGGGGGGAATAAAAAGAAAAAAAACTTTTCTCGTGGTTTTTCATTTATTTATTTATTTATAAATGCATTTATTTTTTTTATTTTTTTTTGGAAAGCCCAAGATAAACTTTTGCTGTTGTTCTTTTTTCTTTTTTTTTTCTCTTTCTCTCTTTTTCTTTCTCAAAGTTAAAATTTGCATTTCGAATTAGTTTTTCTTTATTTTTATTCCCTTCGCTCCGCCCCCACTTGCACCTTCACTACTCCTCCCCCCCGCAAGTTTTTTTTTTTTTTTTTGACTTTTTCAAAGTTTTCATTATTAAGTTTTAAGAAAGGAAACGAAAAAAAAAAATAAAAGGAAAACGTTTTATTTATTTATTTATTTATTTTTGGAGAAAAATAAAAACTTATTCCAAGTTTTATTACGATTACGTAATAAATTATTATTATTATTATTATTATTATTATTATTTGGAAGGGGGGAAAAATGGCGGGAAGTTTCAAACATATATGTGTGTAATTAATTTTTTTTTTGTTATCATTTACATCGATTTCCTGTTAAATTTTCCTTAAAAAAAAAAAAAAAAAAAAAAAAGGAAAAATTCGAAAAGAGGAGAAAATGGAATAAGAGGAATAAAGGTGATGGGAGGGGAAATTAAAAAAGGGAAGGGATGAGGGGATAGAAAGTAAAAAAAAAAGGGAAAAGAAAAATAAATTGACAAAGATAACATAAACTTTGCATGTTACAAAAATTTTTTTTTTTTTGTTCTCCAGAATTTTTTTACTCCAGGAAATTGAAATGGGGAAATTTAAACGTTTGAAATTAACAAATGGGAATTCATTATTGATTTATTGATTTATTGATTTATCGATTTGTTTTTTTTTTTTTTTTTTTTTACGGAAAAAAACGATAGAAAAACAAAAATTTAACGAAATGATTCGTTACACGTATGCGTTCTCCGTTCTGTTGTTTTTTTTTTTGTTCCTTTTTGCTGTCGTTAATGTTTTTTAAAATTTTTCTGTTTTCGGGTTTTAATTTAATACACGCATTTATTTTTTTTTGTTGAAACGATTTTCATCATCATCATCATCATGTTTGCTACGAATAAGAAAAAAAAAAGAAAAAGAGAAAAAATCTGATTTTAAAATTACGAGATTAGACGTAAAATTATGTTTTTTCTTTTTTTTTTCTTTCTTTTTTTTCTTTCTTCTTCTTTCTTTCTTTTTATCATTATTATTACTTTTCCTTAGATAAATTTATCAAATGATTTATTTTTTATCCAGTTTATTTATTCTCTTTTATTTATTTAAATCTTTTGCTCTTTTTTTTTGTTGTTTAAAAACTTTTTCTTTTTTTTGTTGTAATTTTTTTATTTTATCAAATCGTTTTGTTTTGCGCTGTTGCTGTTGTCGTTTTATCAATTTCACTTTCTCTCTCTCTCACCCTCTCTACCCTCACACCCCCCTCTCTCCCTTTCTCTTTCTTGTCCTTCGTGATTCGAAGTCGTTTTTTGTTATTTTTTTTATCTTCTTATTCTTCTTTATAATTAACGCTTTTGGCAATGAATTTTTTTTTTTACGACAGCCATGAAAAAAAAATCGAGAAAAATAAAATCAAAGTCGGACAATGTTTGGATTTTATTATTATTATTATTTCTTCTTCTGCTTTCCAGTTGAACCCAATTAAAAATAAAAAAAATAAATAAAAATGATTGGGTGACGTCTAGACGTCAAAATAAAATAAAAAAAAAAAAGTTTAATTACGTTAAAATCTATCGTTATCATCATCATCATCATTATCATCATCGGATTCGTTATTTATTTAAAATAATGAATGATCGTTATTATTATTATCATCGTCGTCGTCGTCGTCGTCGTCGTCATTTAAAAAAAATCAAAATGACGACGACGACGATTGAAAGAAGAAATTTTTTGTGAGTCGAAAACGTTTTGTAACGTCAGAATCGAAATCGCATTAAACGTTATTAAAAGGAAAAAAAAAAAAAACATTTGAATTACCCCAAAGGAAAATCAATCCTTTGAATTTTTATATAAACGTGTAAATAGAAAAATAATATTATTATTATTGTTTTGCGGAGAGGGGAACGACGTTAGAAATTGAACCCGGGAGAAACGCGCCTAAAAAAAAATTTTTTTTAAAAACTTTAAAATCGTGTGACGTCATCATTTTTCTTTTCATTTAAATGGGGAATAAAATTAAAAGAAAAAAATTTTTTCGCTTGTTGTTTTTTTAAAAAGTTTTTTGTTTGTAGTTGTTGTTGTTGTTGTTGTTTGTTATTCTAGAATTGAGGTTTAAGAAGGAAAAAAAAAAAGTGAAAGAATAAAAAATTATTATTATTATTATTATTCATGACTTGAAATTAAACAAACGTTAAAAAGAAATAAAAATTAAAAAACAAAAGCAAAAAAAAAAAAAAAGAAAAATTTTTACATTTAGAAGAAAACCCGCAAAAATTAACCGCAGCAAAAAAAAAATTTTTTTTTTTAGTTTTAATTTTAATTTAAATTACAAAAAAAAAAAAAAACAATTTTTTTAATTTTTTTTTCGTTTAAAAAATTCGCGCGCTTTTTTTTTCATTTTAAAAAAATAAAGTCAGTCTATCTATTTTATAGCGCTATATTAAAAGCAATAAAAAAACGAAAAAAAAGAAAAAAGAAAAGAAAAGAAATTGACAAATTTGATTGCACGGAAAAGTTTTTTTTTTTTTTTCTCGTTTTCTACCATATTCTTTCTTTCTTTCCGCCATTTTTTTTTTTTTGCTTTATTTCAATCGTACGAAACTTTTTTTTGCTAAGAATTAAAGCATTCGATTTTTTTTTTACACACACACGCACATATATATTTATATATTTACAATAAAATTTGAATTTGATATTTTTCTAAAAAAACTTTAGAGACTTTTTTATGTTTTATGTTTTCTTCTTAATCGCCGCCATTTTTATTTTATTAAAAAAAAAAAAAAGTTTTGTGACTGAGATTCGAGGGAGGAAATGGGGAGGGAAGGGAGGGGAAAGAAAGGCAGAAAGGAAGGAATGAAGTGTAATAAATGATTAATAAGGGGAAATATGAGGAAAAAATTATTTTTATTTTAAAAACGCCATTTTTCCAATTTTTTCTAAATTTTAACCGTCGGAAATTTTTGTAAATTTAAATCCCGCCTAATTAAATTTTTAATCGCGCCTAAAAAATAAATTGAAATTTTTTTTTTTTTTCTTAAATATTTTTTATCATTTTAACCTTTCTTCATTTTTATACCTGAAACGAAATTTTTACAAAAAAAAAAAAAAATTTTCGGAACGTATAAAAAATTTTTAAATATTATCATCATCATCATCATCATCATCATCATCATCATCATCATCATTATTATTATCATTTTTTTTGTTATATTTTTCGTTTGTTTTGTAACAAACAAAATTTATTTTTATCGTCGTCGTCTTTACCATCTTCTGACATTTTACTTGTAAATTTTTTTTTTTATTCGTTCGCCCGGTCGTCCGGATTTTCTACCTGAGTTTTTTTTCTAGTTGTTTCCGTCGCCATCATCATCATCATCATTATTATTATTATTATTATTATTATTATTATTATTATTAATTTAAAAAAAAAATATTTTATCAGAATTTACATGAAAATTTATTTTTTTATTTGATTTATTATTTTATTTTATTTTCGTTAGAAAAAATTCTACTACCGTAAAATACGAAAATGATAATTTAATTTAATTTAAATAAATTTTATTCGTTTTATTATTATTATTATTATTATTATTATTATTAAATTTATTTATTTATTAAATAATTCGAAAATAAATTATTATAATAATTATATTTTTTAAATATTGAAAGGGGAGAATTAAATTATAAATTTTCGGAAATGAATGTGACGTATTCAAAATAACGGGGGTGGAGGTGGTTGGGGGAAAAATGGGAAATGGAGGGAGTGAATGGGGGCGGGGAAATCACAAGCGTAACAATCGTGTGCAAAAAATTTGGTTTGTTTTTTTTTTTTTAGAAATGTTTAGCTTACGAACGAAATAAAACAAAAACAAAAACGTTCGTCGTAATTAAAATAAATAAAAAAAACACGTTTTCATATGTTTAAATGTTAATAATAATAATAATGTTTTTGTTGTTGTTTTTATTGTTGTTTCGAACACTATGATATATCTATGTTGCATTTTGTTTTTTGTTAATAAAAAAAAAAAATAATAACTTCATTTAAAATGATTTATAAAAAATAATGATGATGAATTTAATAACTTTTAGTCGATAATTGTCACAAAATGAAAAAAATGAAAAAAAGTCGTGAAAAATTTAAAATTCTATATTTAATAACAAACGCGATGAAAAAATAATAATAATAATAATAATAATATAACGGTTAAATATGGAGTCGTTAAAGCAAACGGCGACGGCGACGGCAACCGCGACGACAAACAACGCAAACGCCACACCCGCAACGGATCAAAATTTAAATTCTACGACTCCGCAAATGGTAGCCACGCCAAATTCAGACATACCATTAGATAATATATTAAATTTAGATTCGGATGTTGCCATTAACGAATGCATGGAACGTCTTGGAACGAGGTTAAACATGATGGAAACGGAATTGAGATACGCTTGGAGAGCTTTGGATTTACTGTCTCAGGAATATGTTAAAATGTGGACGAGATTGGAAAAATTAGAGAGTTTGTTGTACGAACAACAAACGGTCATAACACAACTCTTAGAATTTTATTCGAATTTCGAACGTCAGAGTAATCACGAGCTCGGAAGGGGAGATGATGAAGACAATATAAAATCGGGTGAATTAATGAATGAAAGAAGAACGATGATGATGAAAGGAGACGATATGACGACGGGAGTCACGAGCGAACTCGATGCATTACAAGAAGCTCTTAAATTAGCCGAAAATAGTGCGAGGGAAACTCTGATGACGGATATTATAGGGTCTAATACTTATTTACCCGGATCTTCAGCTCTTTCCGCCGAAGCCTCTGAAATAATAAAAGAACTTCAACTCGAAGACGTTTTGGATTTGTCAAACGAAACTTTCTATAAAAATTTAAATAAAGCGTACAGGGATGATTTCACAACGGGTTACGAATCTAATCCTTTATCTATGGCAAATTCTTCTCAGTTGGGAATGATATGGGAAGAATCCGAAGAAGGGGATGAAAACGGAACGCTCAATTCAAAAAGAGATATTATAACGACGGAATTGACAAAAGAATCGAAAGAAAATGATGTTTTCACCGCGTTGGATTATAAAGATTACAGAGATAATATTTCTTGCGTTAAAGAGGATGATGATGATGATTTAGCCCAATTGTCAAGACTGAATGCAATAGATCAAGTTGCACTTGAAAAACTACACGAATTAGACAGGCTGACTGATAAATTGGAAAAAGATTCGAATCATTTAAAAGAATTGGAAAATTGTCTCAAGGATAATACTTCTCACGTCATCAGTGACATACAAATATCAAAAGCGGAAAAACCCGAAATGATATCATCGAGTGATAAAAATTTCAGGCCGGATGATTCGGATATACTAAACGACCAAACGCAATCGCTGTTAAATGATATAAACATAGAAAATTGGAATTACTGTAACGAGCCTGCGGGACTTGCGGATATGCTATTGCTTGCAAATATGGCGAGCAAGCAAAAACCTAGAACGGAAACGATGCCGTTGGATTCATATCACGATACCGGTGGAGAAATGGATAATAATTTGACAGGGTATTCTAGTAATTCAGGACTTTCTCCCAGGCATCACAATAAAATGACAGAGATTCCTTCTTCTTCTTCGTACACCTCCTGTTCTGGGGGAATATCGAGCTTAATGCAAAATGATGTGTCTTCTCCGAAACGAGCCTCCGATTTACAAAATTATACTTGTTATTCTGGAATAAATTTTTCACCAAAACGGGTAATAAATTCTGATACGTATTCCTACGGGACGTTAACCACCGGTTCACCGAAGCGTACCGTTGATTTACAAAATTATCCCTACGGATCATCAACGTCTTCACCGAAACATCACGATTTACAGGGATTGGGTTACAATTTGGAATCAAGCGGTCTCATTTCGGCTTCTTATTCATCGGTGGCCTGTGTTTCACCCAGCATTCATTCTTTGTCCAGCGGTAAATTAAGCACTTCGCCTCCTTTATCAATAATTAGCGTTAGAACGAAACAAGATGGATATAAATCGAATATCATGCGAAGTGATTTACTTCAGACTAGTCCGAGTCCGACCAGTCCTCCTCCTCCCGCTCCGGAAGATAAAGACGTGTTTGTAATGGCTTTTAAAACGGTAGAAGAAAGTTTAGTTTCTTGTGTCGATCCTTATCACTCAGGAGGTGGAACAACGTCAATTATGTCCTTGTCGCTTGATCAGCAACAAGGTAGACTAACTCCCCGAACGCCTCATTTGCCAAAATCGCCAAAAACTTCACCCAAGCGCATTATTAAATCCACTTCATCAAATTTAGCCGCAGCCAAATCCGACTCGGGCTTATCGTCAATGAGCGGAGGATGGTCTAGTTTGGAAAAAAGTCCGGGATCTCCAAAAAGCAATAGAGTTGCCAATGCTTCGTCGTGTTTATTCACCGATACTGGAATGCTTTCCGGTAGAGTTCCATGCTATTCCCATTCACGTTCTCAATCAGTCACACACCTTAACTTATCTCCAAAACATAAATCTAAATTTAATTACAAACAAGAATACGATCCTTATTCCTACAGCAGAACTTTATCACCCGTACCTCCACCCCCTCCTTCTTCGTCATTGATCGTTGGTGGTAATCATTTATCAGCGTTTACTACCGTCAAAGCCAGCAGCAGATTAGACAATACTTCACTGTTAATAACAAACGATAGCTCAGGAACTTTCGTTCCATCTCCAGCTCCTAATTCTGATATTAGCTCCAATTCCAGCAAACAGTCTCAACGTTTGCACGATTATCAAAATATCAATGAGGGCAACGATTACTTATTGAGGTCGGAAAAACCTTCAATTTATTCTGTCGCGGGTACTACTCATAGAGAACCTCAAAATTTTGCTTATGCAAGTGGGTCTTCCAATTATTCAATAAATGTTAGCAATTTAGGTTATCCCGATTTAATTGGGTCTTACCCGATAAGTGACACCCTTAGCAGCTCATCGGCCTCATCGCAATACCTGGCCGGTTCGGAGCGGGGCACCTCTAGAAGTCAATCCATCGTAACAAGTGTTTATCCGACACCCAAAACAACTCCTATTCAATTTTTAATTAATAAAACCGGAAGCACTAAATCAGAATATGGCCACAATTCCGATGGATATAATAAAACGTCGTCCACCTATCGTAACTCATTTCCTTCGGCTCAAATTACGGACGCTTTGACTTACTATCCCACCAACGTTCGTGACATATCGATGCCAGAAAACGTGCCAACCTACACGCATTCTTCTGCTCAATGGTTAAGTCGATCAATGGATAACGAAAATTATTTTTCATCGTCGTATAAAAAAAAAGATTTCGATGATAAGTATACTGAACACGGTGAAATGTATACAAAAAAAAGTTCAATGGATCCATCGGCTCAATATCGTGGAGAAGAAAGCATGCCTATTAGGGATTACCAATGGAGTAGAAGAGACTGGAATTCGGAATTGGATATTAGAAATCAAAATAATGAGGCAAACGAAAAATATGGCAACGTGCAATTTTACGATACAAATGGAGTTATAGTTTCTCAATCGGGTTACATTTCCATAGCTTCGAATATAAGAGAAGACAGTAACGGTTTTGAAAAATTAACGAAAAAAAGTAGTAAAAAATCAGGAAGTTTGAAATCTGCAATGAATTCTGTGAGCAATTGGCTTCCGGAATTACGTTTCAAAAGGCATCGTTCTAATTCTTTGCCAGCCGAAGAATTTAGAGGGGAGTCACAAATAAAAATGTCACCGAAAACATCGTTGAAAGGAAGACTACAAAAACAATTGTCTAACACGTTATCGAAAAAGAAAGTAAGCAAAATTCATTTGGTAAGTACGGTTTCAGGGATAATACAAAAAGCCAAAAAAAAAGTTCACGCTTCCCATTCGCTATCGGATTCGGAACAAAGCGAAATGGAATGGGGAAGTAGCGGTGTAAGAAATGGAAGATTCAGCGCTCTATCTTGCAGAAGTGAGGATAGTGTTTTTCCACAACAATACGCTGAACAATCTGACGAACCTAATTTTCCTCTAGATTCGAATGAAGTTGTCACGTCGACACCTCCGGTTGCAGATGAATCATTTGAAAACGAGTTAGAAGAAGAAAACGTACCTTCAAGCGTATCAACATTGTTTCCGACGGTCGGAGAAATTAAATTAAATCAAAAAAGTACGACTGGTAGCAGTGACGAATCTGTTACGAGCGAAGGAGCTAGAAAATATTCGCAGGTTAGCGTCTCCGGCCCACCTAGAGAGTTTGCCGTGTCTAGAGCCTTAGGAAAATTTAGACAAAGACAATCTTCAACGGTTTTGGATGATACGTCAGCTCAGGAAGACGGTAATCAAAGCGTAAAAAGTGAAAACAGTAAAGAAAGCATCGAGAAAACTTTTGAAGAAATATCTGAACCCGCGCTCGCACCTATGGAGAAATATAATCAACAAACTGAGGAAACGGAAGAACACACGGAAACACCGGATGTAAAAGAAAATGCGGAAACGTCAAACAACAACGTAATTCTTAATATTAAATCGGAGCAATCGCGAATTCCGACGGCGCACATTCCATCAAAAATTTTTGAAGAAGATGTACAAGGAAGTCCTTCGATGCAAGGCGTGAAAGGTAATCAAAGACATGTCATGACTAGACACCAGGTCAGTTTGGAAATCCCGATGGGATATCGTTCTTCTGGTGAGTGCGATGATGATAACAGGAGCACTCATTCTTGGAGAAGCACGTCTCGTGTTTCATCGAGGCGGCAAAGCACCGAAGACAGCATTGATAGCGAAGACGAATGGTATTGTTACGAATTAAGAAAATTGGAAGAATTAGAAAAACAAAATCAAGTACAAAAGGAGATAATGGAAGTGGAAGAAGTTTACCAACCCGATGAAAACGTAAAAGAAAAAATGTCGTTTGTGCTGAAAGAGCTGAAGTTAAAAGCGTATAAACCCGAAAACGAAATGGACAAACAGGTACACATAAAAGGAGTTATGAAAATAGATGCCAATAATTTTTCACAACCCGAAACACACGTAGAAACATTCACGTACGACGACAAGCCATACTATCCCGACAGGAAGCCTTCAATGGAAAGAAGAGCTTCGGTCGATCGGAAAAGACTACCCGAAACTCCAAGTCGGAGAAGTTCTATAGACAGGTACTTTCCAAGAGAATTACCACAAAGACCCAACGAATTAATACAACCGAAAGAAATGAAACCTCAAGATTTCGAAGAAGAAGATGAAGAAAAAGAACATTCATCCGGTGATACGAGCGGACCCGATAGTCCTCATCAAAGTTTCGACGAAACGGATTACGAAGAACCTCAATTAATAGAAGAAGAATCGCGTAGGAGTTCGAACGGGTATCAGAATAAAATTTCCGGGTCTCTCAGTCGAGAGGGTAGCGAAAGCGTACCTCCGAGCGAAATGTCCGTATCGATACAAGGTGAATGGAACAGCGAGGATACCGGTACGGTTCGCGAAGGTTCCGTTAGCATGCACGGAAGCGAATGGGAAAACGACATACGAGAGGGTGACAGCGCTTCGACAATAACGCCATCGACTCAAAAAATAAAATTAGAAATAAAAGAAAAAGAAGGAGGAGGAGGAGGAGAACAACAACAACCGCAAAAGGAAGAAGGTCCTCCCAAAGATGGAGGAGTAGGAAGTAAATGGAAATTGTTAAAAGCTTTAAAAGACAGAAAAGCAGAAGAAAAAGAAGCAAAAGCGGAAGGAAAAGGAACGGGAGACGAAACTACAACGACCGTAAGTAAATTTTATTAAATATTAATTATAAAAATCCACGCGTAAAGGAACCGAAAAAAAATTTTTCCTTTTTTTCTTTCCTTTTTTCCTTTTTCTTCATCGCGAGTACCCCCCACCGCCGCCATTATTACTTTTACATAATTAAATAACGATCAAAAACAAAAAAAAATTCTTTTTTCCAAAATCCCGTCGATTACAACAACAACAACAAAAAAAATTTTCGTTTTTTATTCTTATCAATGGCTTTTACCTCTCGTTAAAATTCCGGAAACGGAAATAACATTTTCAAATCGATAAAATAAAAAGTAAAAAAACACGACACGATGATGATGATGATTATGACGAATTTTAAATCCATCGATTGTAAAAATACAAAAAAAAAAAAAAAAAGAAAAACGAGAAAATTACGGGAGAGAAAGGAAAAAAAAGAACGGAAGTGAAAAGTACTTCCGGAAAATACTCTAAACAATAATAATAATAATAATAATAATAATAATAATAATAATAATAATAATAATAATAATAATACAAAAACAATGAAAATGAAAAATGAAATTTATTTTTATTCTTTTTAATTAATTAATTAATTAATTAATCAAACAATTTATTTTAAAAAAAATTAATAAATAAAAATTTATTAATAATTTATTTTAATAAATTTTATTTATTTATTTATTAACTTATTTACTCAGCCGTTAATAAATAAATAAATAAATAAATTGTTTTATCAAAAACGAAAGGTAAAAAAAAAAAAAATTTAATTGAAAGTCATGCCGTGCCTCGATACGCATTCGATTCGACAAAATAAAAATTTTTTTTTTCTTCTGCTTTTTTTTTTCTAATTGTTATCGATAATGATATTGATAATGATAATAAAGGAATTCGTTTAAAATAAAACGGTTGGAAGGAAATTTAAGAGAAAAAAAGAAAAAAAAATCGTAATCGATTGTGAACCAATTCAAAAAAAAGGTTAGAAAAAATTACCTTTTTTTTTTCCTTTTTTTGGTCATTTAAAAAAAAAAAAAAGAAGACATTTCGAGCTTAAATCGAGATTGATTAAAAGAGGAAAGAGAAGGAGAAGGAGGAGAGAGAGGATGAGGGGAGGTGATAAAATCGAAAACGAATTTTTTTGTGGAAGAAGAAGAAAAAAGGAAAAAGAAAAACGGAGAATTTTTAGAAGGCGGTGGAGGGGAAAAAAAATTAACCGGAAGTAGACGTGTTTTTTTTCTTTAAAACGATTCGTTCATAAAGCGTTTGTCGCAGCTTTGAAAATTATTATTATTATTATCATTATCATTATTATCAGTATCGTTTTACTTAATGATGTAAAGTGAAATAGAGTTTTTTTTTTTTACTTGAAAATGAATACGAAAAGAAAATATTTACTTTCGTCAATCCGTTAATAATAAATATTATTATTATTATTTTTTTTTTCTCTCTACCTCTCTTTAAGCTTCTTAAATCTTTTGCTGTTGTTTCTGCTGCCGGCGGTGGTGGTGGTGCGGGGTGCGTGGTATAAAAAAACAAGGAGGAAAAAGATGAAAAGAAAAGAAAAGAAAAAATGTTTAATTAATAATGAAAATTATTTTCTAAATATTTTATATACACGTTGAGAAATAAAAGGAAAAGAAAAAGGAAAATATGAAAATTTTATTTGCGCGTATATACACTCTCTCTCTCTCTCTCTCTCTCTCTCTCTCTCTCTCTCTTTCTCTCTCTTTCTCTGTTCGCGGCGATTTATTAATTGTTACGTCACGTGTTAATAATGTTGTGTTGTTTGCACGAGAATGTTCGAATCGTAGGATTGGAAAATAAAAAATATTCGTGCGTGCGTGAGTGCGTGCCTGGGTACGTGTGTGTGTACGTGCGTACGTGCGTGTGTACGTGCGTACGAAGTGTATGCAACCCCCCGCCGACTCGGAAATGTTTGTATTTAATTTATCGAATTTTTCTTTTTTTTTTTTTTATACGTAAGTTAAACATAAAAATTACTCGAGTAAATATTTTGCTTCCATTTTTTTTTTTTTGCTGTAACAAATCCGTACTGCGAAATTTTTTTTTTTTTTATCAAAGATTTGATTTTTTCTTTATGGAAAGGTAAGGAAAAAAAAAAGATTCGCTGGAAAGATATTCTGGAAGGATATTAAAAAAAAAAAAAATAATAATAATTTATTCAATATGGTCGTTAAAAATTTATTACAAAGTAATATTCAATGTGATGATAACGTTAATAAATAAGTACATTTATTTATTTATTTATTTATTATTTTTTGTTAGAAAAGGATAAAAAGAGAATGAAAAAGAAAAAAAAATTTTTAAGAGGGAATCGACATTTTGTTAAATCGACCGCCATTTTTATGTCTCTCTCTCTCTCTCTCTCTGTGACGTCACATATTTTTAAATTGCAACGGGGAGAGAGTTTTGAAATCATTTTCCGACGAACGTGTGTGTGTATAAAAAAAAAAATAATTTTTCAAACCTGTGCAAAAAAAAAAAAAAAAAAAAAATTTCTCTATTTTCCTTTTTGCTACCGTTAATTTGTTTTTAATGCTTACAAATCATTTGCTATGACAAATAAAAAAAATAAAAAATTTTTGCTTTACGTTCGAAGTTACGTTTTTTTTTTACTTTCTGGCTCGATAATTAAACAACGGTTGGCAAGTTTTATTGCGGATGTTGCGGGCTGTCGTTATTAATAATTTCTTTTTTTCCCTCCCCCTTTTCCCCTCCTCTTTCCCCTGCCTAGGTTTTATTTTCTGGAAAAATCGAATATTTTCTACTCCCGTTAAGAAAAGGATTTTTTTGGGGGTGCAAAATATTTCTTATTTCAATCAAAATAATTTTTTTATTTTTTTTTATTTTTTACAGAACGGAAGTGGAATCGGTGGTGACAACAGCGGACGTGGAAATGGGTAAGTTTGATCAATTCGATTTTTCTTTTTATCATTATTATCATTATCATTTTTTTTCTTTTTTTTAAAAATCTTTTGTTAAATTTTATTATTATTATTATTATTTTTTTTTTCCAAAGTCGAGATTAAAAGAATTATTTTTTATTTATATTTATACGTTTTACAAAACCGAATGTTTGCCCCTCCCCTTTCCCCTCTCCCCTCCCCCTCTCTCTCTTTCTCTCTTTTTTTTTATTTTTATCATTTTTTGCCATGACTGACGTGGCACGAGGAAGTAAAGAAAAAAAATGAAAAAAAAAAAAATTTAATTTTTCAAGTCACGTCTAAATTTTGCATTTCGAGTTCATAAAACAAATAATAATAATAATAATGATAATAATAATAATAATAATAATAATAAAATAAGAAAAACCAAATGAAAAAAAAAAGAAAAAAAAGAAAATTTCTTTTTCCTTTTTTGTTTAAAAAAAAGAGTGTCAGTCAATTCGATAAAAATAATATAAATTAATGATAATAATAACGATGGAACGGAATAGTAATAATAATAATGATAATAATAATAATAATAATAATGATAATGATAATAATAATAATATATGTGTATATATTTTTTTTTTTTTTTTGGATGGATAAAATGCAAAAATTTATTACAAAAAAAAAAAAATGAAAAAACGGTTTTTTTTAAAAAAATTTTGCCAAAGGGTAAAAAAAGGTAAAAAAAAAAGGGGAGGGGAAAAGGGGAAGGGAGAAAAAGAGAGGGAGTTGAAAAAAAATTTGATAAATGAAACTTTTAAGGTTTTTAAATTGTTTTGTATACAAAAAATTAATTTTTATACGTTCGCGTTCTTAAAATATTTTATAAATCGTATGCATGAACGTACCTGACGTTTATGAAATTTTTTTTTTTTTTTCATTCGCTTCGTAATATATTCGATCGATAAATTGTTTTATTTTTTTTTGGTGACGTCATCGAATGTTAACAAATCGTCGTCTGATTTAAATCTTTTTGTAGAGTTTTTTTTTTTTTTTTTAAATAACCGTCGTCAATTTAAAAAAAAATTTTTTTTTTGGTTTTAGCTAATCGAAACCTCCCCCTTCCACCCACCGGAAATTTCCCGTCGTAGGTTATTAAAATGAAAAACGATCAGATGATTCGTTATTGATATTATTATTATTATTATTATTTTATAAGGTTTTTAAATATTCTTTGCTTTTTCTGCATCAATTTTTTTTTTTTTTTTTCATTTTTTCATATCGCGTAACAAATTTTAAAAAAAGTTTTTTTCGAAATCGAGGTGCGAAAAATCCTTCTCCCTCTTTTTTCATTCCCCCTCCCTCTCCCCCCGTTAAAATATTACGTTTTTTGCATTTTTATTTTATTTTTTTAATGTGAAATACGTAACAAATTCGATGTTGTCTTTAATATGAAAAGTGTATCATCACAAGAGTATTAATAACTTCCGAAAACAAATGTATCAACATAACGTTATTAACAAAATGTTTAAACTATTTAATATCTAAATTTACCTCCCTCCCTCTCTCTCTCTCTCTCCCTCCCTCTCTCTCTCTTATATTTTTAGGAAAAAAGGTCAAAATTTAAAAGAGGATAGAAAATAAAAATTTTTTTAACACAAGCAGCGGAAAAAAAAAATTTTTTCGAGAGGATTAAAAATAAAAAATAAAACAAAAATGACAAAATTTATCGCGAATATATTGTTTGTACTTAAAATATTTTACTCGCATAAAAAAAAAAAAATAAAAAATTTTACCATTAGCGAAAACGTTGTTTAAAAGAGTCAAGAAAAAAATTCTTTGACATTATAAAATAATAAAGAAAAAAAAATTAAATCGATTAAAATTGGGGAGGGGGGTGAGGAGTGAGGAGAGTTTTCTTATAAAACAATAACAAAAACAAAAAGTATAAGCGTATTTTTGAAAACGCAAAAAATGTTGGCGCTTTTTTTTTTTTAAATTTTTCATTCGTCATTGTATTATTTAAGCATTTCCTGTTTTTTCTTTTACAATTTTTTTGTTCTCGAACGACAAAGAACAAAACATAAAATCGAGCGCGTCGTAACAATCGAAAAAAAAAAACAATAAAACAATAATAAAAATAAAAATAAAGTGATGAGGATTTTAAAATTTAAATACCCCAAAACGAATTAATCTGATTGGTTGAAATATTTCAAAACTCCTCCCACTTTTTTGACTCCATTATAATGTCGGAATGGAAACAAACGTCGTCGATTGATGACGTATCGAATTAAGTATGGCGTCGTGCCGAAGATGTCCGAAGTTTTGTTTACTATTAGTAATTATGCTTCTCGCGGCGTAGGGTCGATGACCTTTTTTTCTTTTTGTTTTTGTTTTGTTTTTTAAATTAATTTTTTTTTTTTTTTTTTTCGAAACGCGCCGTGAAAATTTTTTTTCGTTTTTTTTTTTCAAATCCTCTCGTTTTCATTCTCTCTCTTTTTCTCTCTTTCTTTAGTTTAATTCTTTTAGTTTTTTTAACAAAAAGTTTTAAAAACATAAAAACCATCCGGGCGCGCAACCGAGTTTGAATTATCGAAACGTTTGATAATTTATTACTAGTCGGCGGTGCACCGGATCGAAATAAAAAAAAAAAACCTCGTGAATGTTTTAATTGCAAAAATAATTTATTACGAATTACTGTGTGCAATAAGTTTTCGGTTAAAAAAAAAAAAAAACTAAGTTTGACCGATACCGGAAAGAAATAAAAGGAAAAAAAAATAAGGAAAATTTATTAATTTAAAAATTCCTTTGAAACTTTTTCCCCCCAAAAAAAGAAATAATTTTCTTTGTTTTATTATCCCGTTAACAAAAAAATTTTTTTTTTAATTACTTAATTTTTTCATCACTAATTATTGAAATATTAATAATCAAACGATTAAATAATTTGTTAATTAATTTATTTATTTATTAATTATTTAATTTTCTGTGACGTCACAATCGGGAAAATTTCATTTTTGTTTTTGTTTTTTTTTTTTTTTTTAAACAAATTCGAATAGGAAAAACAAAAACAAAAACGATTTCGAAATCATCGAATTATCAAAGAACGATGATGACGTAATATTATTATCGTTATTATTATTATTTAACGATGATAATTTAATTATTTCGTATCGTCATCATCGTTTTTATTCTCTTTTGTTGAAAAAAAAAAAACGGGGGCCGTCGGAAAGTAAAAAAAAAAACATTGAAAAATCGTGGAAAACAACCCTCGCGTCATCATTAACCAACCTCCCCCCGCCCTTTACGAAAAACCTAATTAAAATGATTTTTTTTTTTTTTTAATAATTTAATTGAATAGTTTTAATCATTTGTTAGAAAATTAAATTGTTTTCTCTTATCGAACGAGAATCATAATGATGATGATGATAATAATAATAATGATAACGAGAGGCGAGTGTAACCCGAGAGACAGAGGGTTAGTTATTGTTAGTTATTTTCCGGTAATAAGTTTTCTTCCGGTTTAAAAAGGTCGTCGTCATCGTTATTTTTAGTTTTATTATTATCATTATCATCATCATTATTGTCATTATTTAAAAAGTTTGTTCAAGTTTGTAATTTTTTTTTATTTTAATTTTTTATAAAAATTTTCCAATTTTTGAATTTTACGGTGGAAAACAAGCGTTTACCGCATCATTATTATTATTATTATTATTGTAATTATTTTCACGTCGGTTTTGTGTGAGCGATGACGTCACAAACAAAAATTTAGGGAAAAAAAAAATTTTCGGATATTGTAAAATGATTAAAATTGGAAGGAAAGGGAAACGGGAAGGGGAGGGAAAGGGGAAGGGAGGGTAGGTACGAAATTGTTTTTCGTTACAACAAAACTTTCGATGACGTGGGAAATTATTATTATCATCATCATCATTTTTATTATTATTATTATTATTATTATTATTATTATTACAACCACTTTCAAAATTAGTAATTTTGTTTACCGGAAAATTTTGATGTTCGCACACCCCCCTCCCCCCGTAAAAATGATGTGCCATAATTAATTGTGGGAGCAAGGGGATGGTAGGGAGGTAGTTAGACTACCATATTTGAAGAAGATTTGAAGAAAAAATTTAAAAACAGATCAATAAATCGATTTTTGTTTTCCCCTCCCCCCTGTAGAAAATTTTTTTGGAAACTTTTTCGTTCCGCCATTTTGTTTTTTTTTTTGTATTTTTTTTTATATTTACTTTAAATCTTTTTTTTTTTTTTTTAAATAAACTTGGTAAATCGGATTTAAAATTGGCGTTGGGATTAATAAACTTTTATTTGCGGGGGGGGTGGCGGGTGGGGAGGGGAAGGAATGTTTTGTTTTTTTTAGAAAAACTTATTCGAGGACTTTAACACGAATTTAAAAAAATTAAAAAAATTTTAACGAGAAAAGTACACAAAACACATTCGGATTTAATTTTTTTTTTAAATTTTTTTAATTAAATTACTTTCGAGAATTAAAGAAATAATAATAATAATATAAAATATATGTCTCGTGCCACGAAAATTTTCCACCCACGCACACGCACACGCTCACGCACTTATTTATAAAAAAAAAAATGAAAAAAAAAATTATAAAGATTACAATTATTACGTAACGTCCGCCATTTTTTTTTTTTTTATTTTTGTATAAATTTAAATCCGCTCTCGCTTTTCTCTCTCTCTCTCTCTCCAACGTATTTAAATTTCCACATTCTTATCATTATCATCATAATCGTTATCATTATTATTATTATTATTTTTTTTTAAATGTGATGCGACGTATTTTAAATGTTACCTCAATTCCGGTTTGTTTTTCTTCCTTCTTCTTCTTTTTCTTCTGCTTATTTTTTTTAATCATCATCTCTATTATCATTATCATTATTTCTATTATTATTATTATTATTATTCCTATCAACGAATATGTAATTAAAATAAATTGAAAAGTTTAAAAAATTTTTTTTTTCTTCTTCTCCTCCTTCTTTTTTCTCTTAGCCTATTATTAATATTAAAAATAATAATAATAATGATGATGAACATGAAGATGACGATGATGATGATGATGAACATGAAAATGACGATGATGATGATGATGATACGATGAAGATGATAATGATATTAAAATATTTTTTATATTAAAAATTTTTTTTTTTTTTAATTTACTTTTATTTCGAATTTTTATATATAAATATTTTTATTTTTCACGGAGCAAAAAAAAAAAATTTAATATATAAAAATTCTAAAAGCAGAAGAAAAAAAGAAGAAGAAGAAGAGGAAGAGGAAGAAAAAAAAACAAAAACTGAAGATTCATTTTTCATATTCAATTAAAAATTTTTTTTTTTTTTTATTTTATTTTTAAATGAAAAAAAAAAAAAATTAAAAAGTTTCAAGTTTCTCCTTATTTTTCTCTCTCTTTTTCTCGCTTTTTCCCCCACTCCCTCTCCCTCTCTCTTTTTTTTTTCATCTTTTCCAGCAATCAGGTTGTTTTTTATAAAAATTTGCGAAGTAATAAAAAAAAAAAAAAAAAAAGAAAAGTTTTTCCGAAAAAAAAAAAAAACAAAGTTTTGGAAAAATTATTTTTAATATAATTTTTATTATTATTATTATTATCGGGATGGTAGTAGTAGTAAAAAAAAAATTTTAATGTTTTCAACTTTTTATTACTCCTATTATTATTATTATTATTATTATTATTATTATTATTATTATTATTATTATTATTATTATTTTCTCGAGTATAATTTCGACGTCGGAAAATTAAAAAAAAAAAAAAAAACGTTTAAATACCCGAAACCGGTTTCGAAAAAAAACTTTTAAAATGCTCGACTCGAAAACTTTTTTCTTTAATATTTTTTTATTATCATCATCATCATCATCATTATTATTATTATTATTATTATTATTATTATTATTATTATTATTATTATTATTATTATTCCACTTGGAGTATTTTTTTTCAATAAATATTCAAAGAAAGAGTTTTTCCCGTTTGAGCTAAAAATACCTGAAAATCTAAGGATGTTTACTATTCTGATGGCATTTATCGATTCATCCCATCTCGATGAGACGAGCATTTATTTTATTTTAAAATTCTTGTTTGTCTTTACGTGTGTGCGTGCGTGCGTGTGTGCGTGTGCGAGTGTGTGTTTGACCTATTAACTACAATCTGGAAAATTCGTGCGTGCGTGTGGGTGCGTGTGTGT